CGCTCAGCTGGGGGAAAATGCCAAAGGCCCCATTTTCGGCCAGCTGGTCGGCGGTTCCAAAATGGCCGCCTGCTGTGTTGCCTCGCTTTAGAGGCACCGAAAATGGCCGCCCCTACGGAGGATCTTAGCTGAACTGTGAGTTAATGGTTTTTTTTGTTCTGTTTAGCAATGTTTCCGGATAGCGACGATTAATCCGGAACGGATTAACGCCGCTATGCGGGGCACCACTGTACAAGCTTCATGACCCCACAGGCACGCAGGTAATAAAGCAACCCAAGTCTGAGGGTATATTTATTTTGAGTTTGTATGCATTATGTAGAAAGTGCCTAATTTAAGCGTTGAAAGATAAATTGCAAGGCTATAGTCCAGTCATGCTGACTGGTGAAATTTTTGACTGACTGGTGAGACATTCTAAAATTTTTCAAGCCCTGCCGATGATATCATCACCGGTGGCAGTTTTTCAGAAATAAAACTTTTCTAATCTTCCCTGAAAGTCCCAAGACTCCCGTGAAATCTCTTTCATTGTGGAGAAGCTATTGTGGGGCCATGGGGCATCTTGTCTTTGAAATGTATTGCCACTGCAGTAAAAGCATCCAGGCAGTGTCATTTTTCAGGATCTCTTTTGTCCCTTGACTACCAGCAGTTTACCCATGACAAAAAGATTTCACAACTATGGGACCTTTGGGACTGGAATGAGAATTTTTTTTATTCCCCCAAAATTTGCTGTTCATCAGTACCTAAAGGTGCTACAAAATGTTTTCATGTGGAAGTTTGGTTTCTGAAGTCACTGATATTAGTTTACTGTTAAAAGTGAGACTATTTCATTTCTTAACAGTTTGTGGAAGACTATGAACCTACCAAAGCAGATAGCTACAGAAAAAAGGTGGTCCTGGATGGAGAAGAAGTCCAGATAGATATATTGGATACAGCAGGGCAGGAAGATTATGCTGCAATTAGAGACAACTATTTTCGAAGTGGAGAAGGCTTCCTCTGTGTATTTTCCATTACAGAACTTGAATCTTTTGCAGCTACAGCTGACTTTAGGTAACTGGATGCATATGAAAAATTGGATGTGAATGTTTGTGACTTTGATATCTTAACTTTTCAATGTTAAATCATCTTGTTTTTCTTGACATACTTTTCTGTCCTTTTAATCTTCTTTGGATGACTTAGAGCAATTCAGAACTAAGCTTCTTTTAAAACTTTGTAACACCATGAATGGTGAATGGGAAGCAAAGGATACATTGGTACATTGGGAAACTGGAGGTTCTTTGCTCTGCTCTGTATTCTTCCAGAAATCACTCAAATATTACTGATTTGAGATGTTCTTCTGCATTTGTCTGAAGAGCACATCTCTGATCAGAATGTTGAGAACAATAGGACAGATGATCCCTAGCCAATGAAAGGCAAGATAAATAATCTGTGTTTTGCAGCTTACTGCCTAACAGTTAGCCTGCTGAGCAGTACTAACAGTGCCAGATTGATTTTTTTTTTTTTTACTCATTATGGCTCCATCTAATTCCGAGATTACTGATCAAAGCAAAGTCAAAAGATATGGCAACATTTTTTTTCAGGGAGAAAATAAAAGTGGCAGCTTAAGCATGCTTCAGAATTTTCCTCAAGCCCATCTAACTAAAGGCAAACTCTTAACACCAGTATGTGATTCAAATGATTAACTTGTTTAGAGATTTTGAGATAAGATATGAAAAAGCAGATTTCCATTTGAAGCAATCTGGGCTCTGTTAAAGAATCTTAAAAATTTTAAAAGGTATTGTCTCTTCAAAACCACGTGTACAAGAGCTGCCTTAGTAACAGTGTGGCTGTGTCTTTCAGAAAAGCATCTTAAGAACCTATAAAACCTGAAAAGTTGCTCCAGACATTATAACTTTTTCATTTAGAGTTTGTCCAGCAGTTGTAGCCATAATGCTACAGGATGCCTATGTCATTTTGCTTTGTTAAAACTATTTTGAAGTGAATGACAGGTCTGATTGTAGAAGGAAGTGTCCAATATAGAAAGTCTGCCAACCAACTACTACCATACTGAAAAATCGCAATGCTTGTTTGAATACATATATCAAACAGCAGATTATTTTGTATGTGAAGTGATTGTCTGGGACATGATGAGAAAATTATAATCTGTCATGGTGCAACAGTGAGATATACTGAATACATCAGAGCCAGAAGTCCCCTAATGCTCTGAGGGACACTGGTTTCATCTAGGACTTGGTGGTTCTTAATATCTTGATGATGAACAGAAAGGATAAGATTGTGGGAAATATTCTATTACACGAGACTGCTTTAAACTTGCTGGATCAATTTAACTTTGCAGTAGAGAGTAATCTATCTAGTTATGGAGAGTAAACCACCTCAAATTAATTCAATTTTTAAGGAAGAGGTATGTATCTGTTATATACATTTTCATGTTTTTCTTTGATTTGGTAATGCTTCACTTAAATAATAGCCCTAGAGATACATGCCTCTTCCTTTAAAATTGAATTAAACTTGAGACTTACTATTTTGATCCTTAATCTCTTGCATGGTTATTGGAGGGGATGTGAGAAGTGTCTTGTGTATGTGGTAAGTACACTATAAGATCTTGTTCCAAAAATTGTACGGTTAGTGATGTTGAACTCATCTGCAAACAGGAGTCATGAGAATTCTAAATATAACCTTGCTGCATTCTGGGAACGTGATGGTGTCTAGCACCATACCAAGCCAGCATTTTTGTTACTTGCAAAACAGCCTGTGTCTGGATTGTGAAGATTGAATGTTACGCCCACGTCTTAGTTGTGGTTTAAGATTGTATATTACATGGTGATGGAAACTTGTTCCAACTGAATCTTTCATGGGCCAGGATGCTAGGAAACTGTCTCAAAATGTCCAAATATAAACAAGTTATCTGTTTAATGTGAGTGGCAGTTGTGACATTGCCAGTAACTAAACAAATTTCCTCTGTATTGTTGGTTGTTGTGGGTTTTTCGGGCTCTTTGGCCATGTTCGGAAGGTTGTTCTTCCTGATCCTAGGGGTTTTTTTATGTTAAGCTCCAGACCATTTTTTCACTCTCCTCTTTCACCCTCATTAAGAGGTTCTTTAATTCCTCCTCACTTTCTGCCATCATATCTGAGGTTGTTAATATTTCTTCCGGCAATCTTAATATTAATATTACTTAAACTTAAAATATCAACATCTGCACTTAGAGAAATAAAAGCAGATGGCAAAGGAAAGCATTGGAAGTCAGTATTTTTCTTGATATGGCAATATTATATGTAATTTTTTGTCTTATGTGGGACAAGCTTTTTGTCATAGGAGACCTGTCTACTCTAAATTACAGTCTATCCATCCTTCTATCTCTTCTTGCATAGCTATGCAAATAGGGTAACCTCTGGAGGAAGATTGCCCCACATTTAAAAAACCATTCTAGAAATTATCACTTGTACACGGAGACACATACCCCTGTTGTTGTTGTTGTTGTTGTTTAGTTGTGTCTGACTCTTTTTGACCCCATGGACCAGAGCACGCCAGGCCCTCCTGTCTTCCACTGCCTCCCGGAGTTGGGTCAAATGACATTGTCCAATCATCTCATCCTCTGTCGTCCCCTTCTCCTCTAGCCCTCACACTTTCCTAACATCAGGGTCTTTTCCAGGGAGTCCAACAAAGTGAAATCTGTCACTGACTCCATATCTTCCCCTTCCATTTGCCAGGAGGTGATGGGAGTGGTGGCTATGATCTTAATTTTTTTGATGTTGGGCTTCAGACCATGTTTTCACTTTCCTCTTTCACCCTCATTAAAAGGGTCTTTAATTCCTCCTCACTTTCTGCCATTAGAGTGGTATCATCTGGATATCAAAGGTTGTTGATATTTCTTCCAGCAATCTTAATTCCGGTTTGGGATTCCTCCAGTCCGGCCTTCCGCATGATGTACTCTGCATATAAGTTAAATAAGCAGGGAGACAATATACAGCCTTGTCGTACTCCTTTCCCAATTTTGAACCAATCAGTTGTTCCATATCCAGTTCTAACTGTTGCTACCTGTCCCACATATAGATTTCTCAGGAGATAGATAAGGTGGTAAGGCACTCCCATTTCTTTAAGAACTTGCCATAGCTTGCTGTGGTCCACACAGTCAAAGGCTTCTGCGTAGTCAATGAAGCAGAAGTAGATGTTTTCCTGGAACTCTCTGGCTTTCTCCATAATCCAGCGCATGTTAGCAATTTGGTCTCTAGTTCCTCTAGCCCTTCAAAATCCACCTTGTACTTCTGGGAGGTCTTGGTCCACATACTGCTGAAGCCTACCATTTTTGAGATTGTATCCCAGTACAGCTTTTCCCATTCTTTTGTTGACTATGAGGGCTACTCCATTTCTTCTGTGGGATTCTTGCCCACAATAGTAGATATGATAATCATCTGAATTGAATTCGCCCATTCCCGTCCATTTTAGTTCACTGAGGCCCAGGATGTCAATATTGATTCTTGTCATTTCCTGCTTGACCACATCCAGCTTACCAAAGTTCATAGATCTTACATTCTGGGTTCCTATGCGATATTCTTCTTTGCAGCATCGGACTTTCCTTTCACTTCCAGGCATGTCCACAGCTGAGCGTCGTTTTGGCTTTGGCCCAACCACTTCATTAGCTCTGGAGCTACATGTCCTTGTCCTCCGCTCTTCCTCAGTAGCATATTGAACGCCTTCCAACCTGAGGGGCTCGTCTTCTAGCGTCATATCTTTAGCCTTTTGTTTCTGTTCATGGGGTTTTCTTGGCAAATTACTGGAAACTTGGCAAAGATATGAACTTGCTAATATGACAATATAGAATAGAATTATAGGATAGAATTGAATACAAATGGAAGGTCTGGGATAAAGGTGTTTGTGAGGCAGTGCACTGAGATGGCTGTCCAAAGATTGAAACAAAAGCAACTGAGAAGTAGGACTGGCACTGTACATCACATTCAACTAATATACATACACATTCAACTTACATATACATCATTTGAACACCTTAATGTTTCATATAAGATATCCAAAATGATTAGTCATGCCACTTGTACAGTGTAAAGTTTAGCATCTTAATGCTGTGTGCTGTTTATTGTAACTCCAGCAACTGCTGGCTATTAATGCAGTTTTTGTGACACAAGTGAATTTTCAAAGGCAGGCACTCAATATAGGCTGCTAGCATAATCAAATAGCTTCTGAATCTAGCTGCCGAACTAAGTAATGATTACTGCTGTAGGGTGCCATCTTCGTAAGAAAAGGAGACAGTACCAAAAGCAGATCACTCTTGAAGTCTCCTACTAGTTAATTTTCTGTATAGCTTTCCCATCTCAATGAAATTTTCTTGACATCTGTTTTTTGTTTCTTAGCATTAGAATGCATTTATCTAAAAGCAATATAAAAGTCTATATTGACAGAAAGTCATGTCACTGATATCATTATGTTAAGCAAGCTCTGAGGCACTAAATTCCCCTATGATGGGCTGAGAGCTTTGCAGGGAACAAGTTACCAGTAGATTAAAATGTCTGGCTCATCTTGGTTATCTTCTTTGGGAAGTTACCCCAGGAGGGTTGACCTGGTGGCTCTTAATAAGCTTCTATATATGGTGTTCCACTGTCTGTAAGACACTTGTCTTTTTCCAAATCTCTTCACTTGTTACTGAAGTTTCTGCAGGCAGAGAGTGGTCTTCCTCGATCTTACAGATATTGTGACTGAAATCTTGGTATTGATGTCAAAAACAAAGCAGGTAGGTATTCAGATATGGTGTCTTCTCCACTTCAGCCCTGCCACAACTCCCATTTTTGCTCACACTACTGATTCCAGTTTCATAGCATTTTGAGATGAATGCCTGTGGTTTTCCATCACATATATTGTTTTGTATGGTGTCCTCCTCTGAAGGGGAAATAAGAGCCCAATCCAGACATTGGCATCAGTTTGATTTTTTCTCAAGAAAGGTGATCGGTTTGTAGCCACTGATTTGAAGAATGCAAACTTCAAGATCGCAATCCATCCTACACATCATCTCAATATTTGAACTTTCCACTAGGTTATATTATATTTGTTCAAAATTCTTCCCTCCCCCCTCCCCAAGGGGATTCACTGGGCTTAAATTACTTGGAGTGATCTATCTTTGGATCAAGACGGTAAATCAATTTTGATTATTGGTTCAATGGGGGATTGCTGTTGATGCTTGTAGACAAATCTAGAGGTTACTCTGACACTGCTTGAGGGACTTTGGGCTTTCATGTCAACAGAGAAAAGTCTGAACATCTCTTTGCCTCAATGATTATGGTGCTTGTATTGATTCCTCTGTTCATTTGCCAGCAGTAGAGTACAATGAAACCTTGTAGATTTTGACATTCCAGGTAGCTTTCAACTTTTTGAGGCTCAGCAAATTGTCAGCTGTCATAATCAGAAAGACAGTTGTCACAAGACAATGTATTTACCACTGGAAATTTGAGGTGATAAGATGTGGATATTGCTTCCCAACATCTGGAAATTCTAACTGATCTATGGTTTCACCCTTACTACTTTACCACTTCAGTTTCCTGCTGTTGTCTTCTTTACATTTTATAGTGACTTATGGACTATGCAGGTTATCTATTTTGTATATAGACAACGTTGCATTAACAAATGGGAAGTAGTAGCAAAAATATATTTATCTCAGCAAGGTTCTACTTAAAATGGCATCTTAAACCGTACTGAGCACAGGATTAAACTGCATGGGTCTAAAGTGTTGTGGATTTCTTTTTTCTCTGCAGAGAGCAAATTTTAAGAGTAAAAGAAGATGAGAATGTTCCCTTTTTGCTGGTTGGTAACAAATCAGATTTGGAAGATAAAAGACAGGTTTCTGTAGAAGAAGCGAAAAACAGAGCTGAACAGTGGAATGTTAACTATGTGGAAACGTCTGCTAAAACACGAGCTAACGTTGACAAGGTGCATGACTGCTTTCAAATGCAGCTTTATAAGTATATGAGTCTGTTTTTTCATATATGTATATTTGTCAATACTAAGTTCTGCATTAATCTTTTTGTGGATCATTCTTTATCTTTTAAGGTGTTTTAGCACATAGAGTTGGGGAACAGCTGAATTTCAATTTAGAAAACACTCCAGGGCCACATTCCAGCATCAAAGAGGGCTAAGGACCCAAGGTGGGGTCAAAAGAAAGTTGGCAGGTCCAGGTATAAATGTTATTAACTTGTTGCAGTGTAACAGCTTTTAGGCACAACAAACTTTTTTTCTTTTATTGAAAACCAAAATTCATTGTAATGAAAACCTTTAAGGGACTTTAAATAGCCTCTTATCTTGGTTCTTGTCATAATTTAGAGACCAGAAGCCAAAGATCTTCCTTATGGCAGACAGTGTTCCCCTCTAAGCCATGCAGGTGCATAGTATTGCATCGGGTGCACACAACTGGCTCAGTGTTTCTGGTCAATTTGCTTCTGGTCATGGCCGGAACTCCATACTCAGGGGATGGAGCCGCTGCACAGCACTCCGGAAAATTATAGGAAACTTTGAGGACAAAAGAACATATGTGGCTATATGGGAAATGTCTTTGGGCGAGAGCTTCCCCTGTTCTGGCAAGCAGCTGAACATAGAAAGATTGAAGTGCTGATTAATAAGAAAATAATGGGCATAATCATGAACATGGACCTAGAGGATTCTCAGTTGAAAGCTGAGCTTGAGTGAGATTGTTTAATTTGATAAATTGCTTCCTCCTTGATGGTTGAAATAGGAAACTGATTCAAGTACATCATTAGGCTGGATTTGCAAGCTCTGGTTTGATTCTGGTTTGACAGTTGATTGACAGTGGTTAAGCCAGTATCCCTGTTTGTTGTTAGGAAACTGATCAAATGAATCAGTCTGTGAAGGTGGTATTCAAGAAGTGTGTTTGAGTCTTTGCTTGTTTCTGGTTTGTTTGTTTTGTTTTTGTTTTTAAATCACAGTTGGGAGCATTGATCTTGTATCTGAACCGGGCTTACATTGGGCATTATCATTATGAGCAGTGAGTTCTGAGTCTTAGTTACAATAGACATGACCAAGAACATTTAAAGGAGCCTCGTGGCGCAGTGGTTAACCTTTTATACTGCAACCAAAACTCTGCTCATGATCCGGGATTCTATCCCAGGTAGCTGGCTCAAGGTTGACTCAGCCTTCTATCCTTCCAGAGTTGGTAAAATGAGTACCCAGCTTGCTGGGTGGGCAAGGTGTAGCCTGTGTAATTCACTTGCAAACTGCCCAGAGAGTGCTTTAAGTGCTATGGGGCAGTATATAAGACTATGGGGCCAGAATTATATCTGGGAAATCTGTGGCATTTAAAATTAATTCAGATTCTTTATTTAAAAAAATACATACTGCTTCACAAATGTCAACAAAATTGTCTACAAGACCAGTTTACAAAAGTTATGGAAGACAATGAAAGTGTTTGCTCATGTTTTGAAGATTTGGCACAAAGTCAAAATCTGTGTCTATGTGTTTTAGAGTGGAGAAATGTCTACTATAGTACATGTTCTTGCCTTGGAGTAAATCTGTTTGTCAGGAGGTTAAGGGGCTTAGTATTTTAATATGCAAACTTATCTTTTCTGACCTATATACAAACCTGATGGCATAACAGAGAAGTCCTTTAAGAAAATTTGCAGATGTTAGAAACTGGAAATGTTTCCATCAAATGTAACTTGGTTTTATTGCGAACACTGCAGTACTGAATTGTTATTCATTAGACTACCATGACTATTTCCTAGATGTTTTGTTGAATTATAACTTCAGAAACTGCTTCCATATGCTGTACTACTATTTTAATGCATTAAAACCTAGTGTTAGATGTGGAGTATCGATTGATATGGGAGCAAGATGCTCTTGACTCCTACAGTTGAGTCACATGTGATCTTGATTTGCCTGTTTTTGTCAGGTAATACTGCACACTTGATTTACAACTTCTTTATGCACTGTTGTACTTCTAATACTTGACCTGTGCAGTGAGATATAGTTGTACTTACAGGGTAGAGTTAATGAACGGGTACTATCTTGCAGAGTCCGTGAGTAAAGCTTTATAACATGGGGTTGAATATACCAAACTCAGTGTGGAGAAAACCTAGAACTTCAGTCACTGCACAATGGAAAGTTCATAATAGACATTGCTGCTGTAATAGCAGTTCAGTGAAGGAGAAATATCCACATATTTTGGTCTTTGGCTCCTGTAGAACTGTGTTACAGGAGAACAGGAAAAATAGATTCATAGTTGTAAAATTTCACTACTCCCTATGGAAAAGGAGTAAAGGGTATCCTTTAGACAAGCCTCTTCCCCTCCCCAGCTGTTTTAGGAGCTCTTCTCATCTTCCAAACAAGGTTTTCACACAAGGATACAGCATGAACAGATACTTTTCAGAAACTTCTCACATTTGTCAGTCTGTGGTTCTCTTCAAATCTGCCAGGGCCCCCCATGGTACCATATGGCCCCCACTAAGAACAGCTGCTCTAGACTTGCTTAATAACTAATATAATCTTGGGAGTAGATTGGGTTTGTAAAAATGAAGGATTCATACACAGTGCTGACATTGATCTTTTTCTTTCTAGGTATTTTTTGACTTAATGCGAGAAATCAGAGCCAGAAAGATGGAAGACAGCAAAGAAAAAAATGGAAAAAAGAAAAGGAAAAGCCTAGCCAAGAGGATCAGAGAAAGATGTTGCATTTTATAATCAAGACTGCAAACTTTTCTTCATACTTTGAGCATACTAATAAAACCCATAACTTACAGCATGCCATTTGGAGGCTCCTATGACCGAAATTACTCTTAACAGTTTTGAATTTGTAATGTACCACTTAAAGCATGAATTGGGACAGCACCTGAAGTCTTTCACTGGAAAAGGCCTATGTGGCTTCAAAAGAAACAGATTTCAATTAATTTCAAAATTTTCTCCTCTCACCATTGGTTCTTCTGAATGTAGATTTTTTTTCCTTGCGCAGTCTCCCTTGAACTGTCAACAAAATACATTACTTTCTGTATTTCTCATAAAGCATACACTTTTGTATCACCAAATTTTTACTTTGTCTTCTACTACCTTGAAAATTACAGCAGTGGGCAGAACTAAGCAAAGGTAGTATATAAGCTTTTTGCTGTTATAAGATTATGCAAATTACAGAAGAGAAACTGGCTCTGTTCTCTGCTTCTATTGGGAGTCATTTATACATGGAATTAGTTTAGACAAATGGTGTAAACTCATGAGAATATTTCAATATGCCTTAATTTAAAAACCTAAAAAGTTAATGTAGTTAAGGGTATATTTTCCTTCTGATGCACTTGAGTATATGCATCATTGTGAAATTATATCCTGTAGTGTGGAGTGCTGTTTTGTGAACCGTTTTGTTAGCAATGCGCTAGCAGTGTGTCTGATCAGAAAGTGTGCCATACTCTGGATCTGAAATGATCCAGAGCATACTGTTATCTTGATTGCTTTAAGCAAAATGGCCGATGTAATACATGTACAACTGAGGTTAAATGTAAAGTGAGGAGGGTAAAGCACATTTCAGTCTGAAGTGGACATTTTCTTCTTAGTGCACAGAAACTGACATTGATCTCTGCAAGTACATAATGTATACCTATGGGGGTGGGTGTTTTTCGTAGGGTTGGGGGCACAGTGTGCACTTCAGTAGCACAAACATGGTCTTACTCTTAGGGCTGTCTGGAAAATACTGACCAGTTCCTCCATTCTATGCCTTTAGGATCATTGACTGTGCATTATCTATTGGAGAAGCATTCCAGTTGCTTTCTCTGGTTTACTGTTAACTAGTCCACCCTACTCTGCTGTATAGAAAGACTGAGAGTGTGCTTCCAAAATCCCTCATTCATTGTCCTAAACTTCTCTGCATTTGAAAGAATACTAGCACAATGTTAGTATGTGGAATTGAGCTAATAATAAACCACTTTCTCTGAGACTTTTAAGTCGTTTGAATGTGGGCTAGGTTAGGTCAATTCCAAAAAGTACTTTTTTATATATACATGTGTATAAACGTATGAAATGTCTGTTCAATATGTGTCTCAGCAGCATAAGCAGAAGATGTATTTAACATTCTAACAATTAGACATGAGTAATGTGACTGTTTAGAGAACACTTGTTTATAAAGAAGTTTTGTATGTACTTCCTCCAGTAGATGCTACCATGTGCAGAATTAGTTTTTGATGTGCCTGGCCAAACGGATTGGTCCTCATCTTGCTGTATACTTGTTTTCCATCTGTCAAACCAGGGAGTCCAACCACTAACATTGTAATTTTTGTGTAATGGGAACCAAGGTGTTATGAAGCCAGTGGACACACAGAAACAATTGTCGTAGGCTGATGCCTTCTCAGATTCTTTTTATTTGCTATTTGAGCCATTGAGTATGAATAAACTTTCATTTTTAAAAAAAATCATTTGTGAAATGCTAATTACAACCTTATATTCCAGTGGAGGAAGTTTACTAATACTGTTTTAAGCTTACATTTGTCCAGTTCATAAATCCCTTGTGCTTGCAAGTTAGTAATGTATGATGTATAGAGAAGATTAACAGATTGGAAGCTCTAGTGTGCTGCAGGAATGGATTCCTTGGATCTTGGTAATCCACACATCCCAAACTCAAAACATTTTTTTAAAAATCCCAATTGAATGGCAAATAGCATTTTCCTTTGAAACCTCTGGAGACACAATATTCATTTGAATGTAATTTTATAACCCAGACTTCTTTATGCCTTTAAAAATAATTTTTAGAAACCAGCAATAACTCACTAGCTACATTTGGTGTCTAATATAGGTATCGGGCATGGTTATGTTTAAAATAAATTGTCTTTGACCACTGTAAGTACAACTTTTGATTTTAGAGTGGTCTCTTGCAAGTGTACAGGCGATCAGCACAGTTGTATGCAAGTGCTATGTTACCAGCATAGTCTAATTGTCAAGTCTGAATCTCATAACTTGATGCCTTCAATTCCATTCCTGCAGATTTAGGTCCCTGTGACAGTTCTTGTCTTATTGCTGTCATTCAAAAGTAATTTATTTCAAGTATGTCTATGGGAACAAACTTCAGATTAATGGACATGGCCTTATTTTGATATCTTAATTTTTTATGTCAAGAACAAATGTGATGTAGTGGATAAAGTATGCAACTAGGAGTCAGATGACAACTTCAAATCCTTGAAAATCATATTGGAATGTCATATATTGGATGTGACTTAACAGCATAGAATATAACACTTTTTTAAAGCAAAAAATATTCCATCTTCGTTTAGCACACTAACTCGTTTCTTAGCTGCCTTGCTATAAATGCTTTTGGGGGCATACAATTAAATTCTAATTTAATTTACTGGCAAGAGGCCACATATCTTGTGAACAACTTCCTCTAATCTTATTAGCTATACTCTATATTGTGTAATTTCTCCTACACTAGCCAGGATCAGGTTAAAAGCATCTGAAGGCTGCTCTTGGACAGTTGCCAGTCCTCTAAAGTTGGTGGGGTTTTTTTTGGTGATTTGGTAAATGTATTTTTTAGATTGAATGGTCATTAAAGCAAAATCTTGATCCACATTCTGTTATTGGCATACATAAGGAGATGCCAAACATTTACCAGTTCCATCTTTCAGCAAAATGTGCTAAGGTAGCAGTGGATTGATCATCCTTCGGCAAAGGAGGATTTGTTTTGGTTTGTTCTCAAAATAGAACAGAATCTTCTGTGCTCTGCGTGTTTTATGGATCAGGAGAGACTACTTTTGTACAGAGACCCTTGCTTAGGGAAGAAAGTTGTAACAATGCCAGGGACATTGCATGCATTTTTTGAAAATACAGTGGTGCCTCGCTTAACGAGTGCACCGTTTAACGAAAAATCCGTATAGCGATCCCTTTTTGGGGATCGCTATACGGATCAGCCCCAAATGCCCCCCCCCGCAGCGTTTTCACGACCTCCCTAAGCAAGGGGAGGGCGCGAAAACGCTGATAGGGGCCATTTTTCGCTCCGGCGGCCATTTTGGAGCCGCCGATCAGCTGATCGGCGGCTCCAAAATGGCCGGAGCGAAAACATCGCTGGAGGGGGTAAGTTTACACACTTATTGGAACGCATTAAACTAATTTTAATGCGTTCCAATAGGTTTTCCTGCCCCGCACAGCGATGTTTTCGTATAGCGAAGGTTAATCCGGAACGGATTAACCTCGCTATACGGGGCACCACTGTACCATTTTTTTCTAAATATATTAGTACCAACAAAGTTTTACTAGCAACTGCCTATATGATACAGAATTAGGGCAGTCTTCTCTGATGCAAATGAAGATGTGTGAACAGCTTGCTTAGAGACTACAGTTCTAACCTGCTCTGTTCTTGGGTCATCCTATTTTCTTGCAAGCCTTTCAATTTGGGGACCTTGCCAAGATCAGGAAGAAGGAGTGCTGCTTGGGTAGGAACAAAATGGCAGTGTGTACAAAAAGGTTTTGTTACTACATTTTGTGTTTTTGCTTCATACCTCTATTCTTTTACACAACCTCAAAATGTCATATTTCTATAAACTGATATAATTTGTTTAATCCCTTTACTGAAAATGAAGAAATGTTACTGAATTAATGAATACAAGCAGGACAAATCACATTGGTCTAAGAGCCAAATTCCACTTACAAATGACATTTCTAATTATTTCAGCAACTGCAAGCACGCATGATAACACTCTACCAAATGTGCCTGGTGCACATTTGGCCTGTATTCAGTGAACTGCAAGATTAAGTTCCTTATGCCTAGGAATGTTTGGAGTTGTTTCTTGAACAATGCCCCATTCCTGTTGCATTGCAAGCTTAAGAAATGGAAGAGTTTAATATTGTGTGGGGCTATATTGTACAAAGGAAAAAAAGATATGCACAGTGCAGCTTGAAAAGAAAACAGCCCTTTAGGCCAAATTTTAGAAGTTACTATGGGTAACAATTACAAGTCATACATTGAGACACTTATGAAAGTCTCTAGTGTCTAATCCAGAGGCAGAGAGGTTTCATAACTATAACTGTGCTTCTTCTCATTCTTAAAATATAAAATGATTTGAATAAATTAAAAACATTTTGGTTATAAGTACTGTATACCTATTAGTGAGCATAACTGAAGTGAGAGGAGGGGTAACTATGGATTCTTTAGAAATGAACTGAGAAGATCTTGTATAGTTATTCTAGAAAGCTGGGAAACTAACCCTTTGTTTTAAAAACTGGTAGGATTTCCACTTTATCTAGAGCATTACACATGCTAGTAATAGAAATAAAAAGATAAATGCATTTTCCAAGAGTGTTTGTTATTTGAAACACTTCAACTCATTTTGGAAAATGCTGTTTTTGTCAGGGCAAACTTGTCAGAACGATGTATGTTCTGTCTGTGTTTGAGAAGGCAGTTCAACATGTTTAAATAATAAACATAAACAGAATGAAATGTGTTTTTCAACCATCTTGCTAGTAATAGAAATAAAAAGATAAATGCATTTTCCAAGAGTGTTTGTTATTTGAAACACTTCAACTCATTTTGGAAAATGCTGTTTTTGTCAGGGCAAACTTGTCAGAACGATGTATGTTCTGTCTGTGTTTGAGAAGGCAGTTCAACATGTTTAAATAATAAACATAAACAGAATGAAATGTGTTTTTCAACCATCTGAGTTTACTTATTTCCAGACCATTCCTACACTTTATTTCAATCTTCTTTTTCATTTTTTTTTCATAATTGGCAAATACTTTCTCTAAAGAGAAAGCCAAGTTCATGTGATGGTGTTTAGATCTTGATTTGTACTGATTTACTGATGTGCATCAGAACTTACAATATGTGGAATTAGGGGCTAATAACCTATCAATTTTTAAAGGGGTAGGAAGATCTTTCTTTTAAAACTGTTCATAGGCATACAGTAAATGCACTGCCATCTACTGGCCAGTACCATTTATAATAGTCTTGAGGTCTGATCTTGAAGAATGCCAGGGCCTAAAAATATCAAATAGCACATTTATAAAGATGCTGAAAGTGGGTGTGGTTAGATAAGGGCTGATCAACTGATGCTAGATCTTGGCAAGGCAGAGTCATTGTGGATATGTGTTTAGACAGTTCTGAATGGAGTTGCATGTATGCATGTATGTCATTCAGAAGATGTATGTCATTTAGGGATGCTCCTTGGTTCAGCATTGTCACTGGAAGCCTAAGTGTTCTTGAAGGCACATTCTTCTTTGTGGTCTCTGTGAATGCACACAAATGGGTTGTTCTGCACTTGCGCTGAACATCTCAGAAGATTCTAGAGCTTAAAAGTACAAAGGTACTTTTCCCCCGTGGAGCACATGCTCCGTCCACCCAAGATTCCCCTCAGTTCCTTTTTTCCACTGTGCTGATGGGATCCTCTGAAAAATTGTGTGATTCTTTGAGCAGTTTCTAGAGACTATATTACTGCTTTCTCATTTAATCATCACTTAAATTGGTTGTTTCTTATTTTCCAATCATCTAATCAATGTTACCCTGTGAGTTAGTTCCATTTTTTTGCCTTTCCTGCCTTTGGCTTCCTGCCCACCCCAACTCTACAACCGTCTCTCCTGGTTTCCCGGTCTTTATGGCCTCTCCAGCTCCGTTTAAAAGGTGTGTCAGCTGTTCTAATAAAATCCCACTATCTGATGGCCATTATCGCTGTTTATTCTGCTTGGGTGAGCAACATCCAACCCACTCTTGTGTAGCTTGTAAAAAACTTAGCAAGCTGTCACTTAAACTCAGGCTCCAAAGGCTCTGCTCTCACCTTTGGGAGACAGCCATGAATCCCCCACAGCTTTAGTGGAGACAATGAGGACCCCAGACCCATCGGTTGAGTGGCAAATGCTATCCCAGCCTGCTCCTTAGACCTGAAGACTCTGTCTCCGCGGTCTAAGGAGGGCGCTGACAAGTCCAGGCCCATATCCAAACAGAAGTCGACATTGATGTCAAAGACCACTGCTTGATCCCATGAGACTGCTAAAAAGAAGAAAGACAAACGAATCACTAAAAAGTCTAAAAAACTCAAATCAGTCCACATCGAACCTCCACAGACAACTTTACCATCTCCAATCTTGGAGGAATCCTCACGAGAGGCTCATGGGTCGACTTCAGAGAGAGCCAAAACACAATTACTGATGGGGCAGGCTCCGGTGTCAACTGGTAGCCTATCTCCCCACACTTGCCTCTCAATGGCTGATGCACCATTCAGCCAGGCCTCGGCCCATTCTAGCTCTGCATCAGGGTGGGTGATTGAAATTCAACTATTGGAATCGGAGTCTCCTCAATGCTCTACCTGAAAACATTGGGAGAAACGGAAACATATTTCTCCTCAATACATGCCTCCATACGGAGATTACTATCAGTATTATCGTATCCCATGGTACCATCATTTTGATGTGGAGGAAGACTTTCCGTATTGCGATCCATATCACATGGAAGCATACTAAGGACATTCCTATTATGAAGAACCAAAATGTGTGCGATACACACTACCTTACCAGCGGGGATATTTTCAATCACCATCTCCTTTGCCACCACACCGTCAGACTGCTCCCAACCTCTGATATCGGCTCCTCCTGCACCTCTAATTCCAAAACCTACTCTGAAGCATTCGACATCATCACACCATACCGATCAATCCAAATGCCTCAGACATTCTTCTAAAAGCCAACAATATCTTCAGGTCACAACCACATATACTGGTCCCCATCCAACAACAGAACCAGAAGCACACCACCCTCGGTCTTCCCTCTGAACCCAGCTCCCTCCTCCAATTCCTACTGTAACAAAACCCACAATCACATTATCATCCTACACATCCTCTTCTGATCAAGACCTAAGTTCTGAATCATCTGATCAATCACCATCTTACCTTCCTATACCACCTTCAGATGCCATTGATAATCACCCTCCATCTCCATCAGAGGATTTCACTTCATACTCACAGATGATATCCAGAATGGCTAAATCCCTACAATTATATATTGAAGAGCCTCCATCACCTGAGGTAGATCTAATCTTCAATGACATCAACCAGGAAAAGACCCCTCCACTTAGTCTTACATTTATTTCATCAAACAGGGAAGAACACATTCTTTATCCCTCCTGCACCTAGCTATCGACCTGTGGGAATGGTGTTACCAACATCACATCTTCCGTATTGCAGTACACATTTCCATGGATGACAATTACATAGCAAATCGTCTCAGCCATATGACATCCAGGACTCATGAGTGGTCCCTCAAGAGTGCCAATTTCGATCAGCATTGTCACCATTGGGGAGTACCTTCCATTGATGTCTTCGCTTCGGGTGTGAATGCCAAACGCAATGTCTATTGCTCTCGAGCTGGAGCAGATGACAACTCCATCGGATGCATTCATGATGAATTGGAACATGGGATTACTTTATGGTAAACCACTTCTGAGTATTGTCTACCTGGAAAACCCTGAAAAGGGTCATCAGAAGTCAGAACTGACTTGATGACCCATTATTATTATTATTATTA